GAATAACAAAACTTTCAACGAAATGTTGATAAGAACAGAACAAAAAGAGTGCGCATAGTGGGCGGGGCTTAATATCTTTTATTGTTATACATAGCATTGCTAACTTGTAGACATGCTTCTGAGTTCTCCGTAGTGCCCCCTGGTGGCCCCCAGAGGGCAGTGGCTCCACTTTGAAAATCACTAATGTACAGAAGCTACTATTTGAATCGCAAAAAAAGTTATTATTTATTTCAGTCCACAGTTAGATTACAAAATAATGTTTTCTAACTTTTATTTCTGTCAGTTATAATGTTCTGCTTAAAGCTGATAAAAACGTTTAACGGTAGAATATTTCTTTAGACCAATAATAGATTTTAATACAGAAATGCAGACTTAATGTGTGTGTGTAATGTGTGTGTATACCTGTTATTTTAAAAAGGTGTGAATCTGAAAAACAATCATAATTCTGATGCACTGAGCATTACTCTATACATAACATACATAACATCTTTCCATAAGTTTCACACCTTTTTAATTTGGAGCACTGTGACTTAAATCCTTGTTATGTGGATTTCTAAAGCCTTATTTTAAACAACTATTAAGGTTAAATCTATGAGTTTTTATTAAGATACTTTTTTTTAATTACATCAAACACTAGATCTGTTTGTTTGATCAGCGTCTTACTTTTCACCGTGGGCACCAAGAAGGTTCTTCTCATATAGGAAAATCTCTAATCCTTTGTCTGTATTTGCGATGCGGGCCAGAATATCAGCAATGAGGATCTGTGTTGCTGCGGGAAACTTCAAGTTAGTCTGTAAATAGACAAAAAATAAAACCCAAATTAAAATAAATAACATCAAAGAAGAACTTAAGTGATCGAATGTTTGCCTATGATAATTATAATGGTGCAAAGGGACGTTTTCTCTTGTTTAAACATGAGGATAAATACAGTCTAAAAAATAGTCACCTCTTACTGTTGCCAAAACAGTATCTAGACTGGAATATTGTTCCTTAATCTTGCTAATTATTTATTTAAAGCAGACACTTAAATAACAAACCTACTTGTGTCGATTTAACCTTGTTAAGTACCAGAGCACCATTAGCAAGTACCATTAGTGACTGCAGATAAAATTAAGTTAGTTAATCTGCAGAAGTTCTTACATACTGGAACATACCATTTCTGACTAGAATGGAGAAATGTTCATACAGATGAAAGCATGTTGGAAGGGGGTTCATCACTTAGGGTTGTTTTGTAGCCCAGACAGTCATCATATTGTGTATTTTAAAAGCTTTCAAACCTAAATGTAATTGAAACCTATTTACATAACATAGACATAACACCATAAAGTCTATTAAGGGACCACAACAAGGATAAAGAATAGAATAATCCAGGTCAAAACCTTAAGAAGAAAATAATCAAAGTCAAAATTTCAAATCTCATAGCAATTTATAGTCTCAGACGGTGGATAAATCAGTAAAAGCAGATCTGTAAATGTATGAGGTCTAATTATTCTTTATAACAGGAGTGCCTAAGTTCAGTCACCAAGGTCTTTTATCCTGCACCTTGACAACGCGTCCCTTCTCCAACACGACTGAATCAAATAAAGGGCTTGTTACCACACCTCTGCAGAGCTGAATGACATGTTGATGAGGGAAATTAGATTGGAGTATTTTGGAACAGAGATGCATATAAAAGTTGCAGGATAAAAGTTCTCTAGGACTGTTCTAGGGAAACCCTGGTTTATGATTTTTACTGTCGGGTTCATAAAATGTAGGTTTTTGCAAAAGATGAAGTGAAATACACACTTATGGATACAATTCCTGCAGGAAGGAGAGACAGTTGAACCCCAGACTCAAACGCACTGTCTCCCACTGGACCTCCTCTGCAGAGCGTTTATTAACAGAACATGACGCATGGTTACAAACAGAGTTTTATTCTGACTGAACAATTGATCAGTTCATGAAGACAGAATGCTCCATCAGAATGACAAGGCAGGGTGGTCTCCTGACTGAATCATGACACAGGAGTGGAGCATCCCCTTGCATAAATGTTTCATAAGCACACATTAATTTTATAATCATCATTGAATAATCCTAACATCTACCAGCCAATAAATGGTGGAACGTGTGTTATTTGCGTGTGTGAAACACAAACCCGTTGTTCAGTAAGTAGCGCAACAACAGGTGCAAGCAGGGTTTCAATGACAGGAGTCTGGTAAAGACAATCAGCAGCACATTCTGTTCGTTCACATAACATCCACAGCACCTCCATCACCAGACTGCTGGGCGACAGGGAGTCTGAGGACATAAAAAAGACAAATTTACTCTCTAGATTTATCTACTTCCATATAAGCTGGGTAACTATGAATCATTGTTTTAATCATCTGGAGTTTGCTGATGATCACACACAGATAAGAAAGCTATGAATATGTATTCTCTGCTATATAACACAAATTGTAGTTATGAAGAGTGTCTATAATCTGAACCTGTGCACAAAACAATGAGGTTGAAAGTAGTGGCTTCTCTGCTTTGCTGAAAGGAGTTACTTCAAATAGTTTGGGCCTCTGATCAGCTTTTCTTCTGGGCAGCAACTGGGTCTTTCCTACTAGATACAAACTATGAGACTCAGAATCTGTAGAAATGACTATTTTCTAAACCTGGCAACAATCTCTCAGAAAGACTCAATGAGTGTCCCTAAGAAGAGAAATTTCTGGGTATTCTGGGAGCCAGTTATACCAAAGATCAATCTGATGAATGGGTTTACATCACCTATCTGATCATGGATGGAAAGAAAGTGCAAGATGATGATAGTTTTGTAGGTTGGGTGGGTTTACATCAGCAAGTTCCCAGACGACTGAAGGAGGCTTTAATTGTTCTTTGATGCAGATCTGCAAGCTGACAGCTGGCTGGTCGGGTTTACGCCCACAACCTGTTTCCACTCAGGTGGGTTTGCCTATAGAACCAATCTTGGGTGGTGTGGTTTTGGTTAGCAGGTGCTTCATGTCTGCAACCCAGTGGTGGTTTACACTGCCAGTTCTCATCCAGCTGAACTGGCAGGACGTAGAACTGGACCCCAATGGTTTGGGGGTTTAAAAGTAAAACATGTCTTGGTGAGTATATGCTCACAGCCTCCTTTTGGGGTTGAGGTTGGTGGTTCCAGGATCAGGTTTATATCTATGACCAGTTGCAGGAGTGGGGGTGACTAGGTTTATGTCTACAACCCACTTGTGGTCAGATGGATTTACTTCAGATACTCAGTTGCAGGTAAATGAGTTTGAGTTTGCTGGATGTACTTTTACAGCATGGTTTTGGTTGGTCAGGTTTACAATTATAAGCCTGGCAAACACTGTAAGATGTTTTGACCTTTTTGGGCCGATTCGTGCAAGAATTATTTGGATTGGGCCAATTTCAACCCCGTCATGATCCTGTGTTGTGTAGTATACGAAGGGGCGATTAACCTCACATGACCACCTCCCGATTAGGAATCATAAGGCCGGGAGAAAATCAGACATGTTTGAAATTCAGTGGGGCCTCGTAAGGTGTTCGTGGGCAAATCCTTCTGTTCGAGCAGAGCTACAAGCCGATTTACCAGAGACTCACGCATTGCGCATGTGCAAACAAGGAAGTTCTCCTTCTTCCAGATTGTCGAGTCCGACTTGCGCCATCTCTCTGTGTTAAGTCAGACGTGTGATTGTTGGACATAAAGTGTGAGCAGGTAGATCGCATCAGAGCGTCGGGCCGTACATTGTAAGAACAACATCGCGAGTTGTGAACTTTTAAACCCTGCCGTTTCGTTGTACAGTTTGAGCTCTGCTGAGTAAAATGATTGAAAAAAGCGTACAGTGTATGCCCAGCCAAGCTGATCCCGTGGTAGGTGGTTAGGATGGATGGATGAAAATCAAATAACAATTTGTTTTAAATTCTTAAACCAATTATAGCAACATTCAAAGCCTAAAAAATAAAAAAACTGGTAATAATAATTTTCTAGTAAAAAGAGTGAATTAATTTATATTCCTTCACTTCTTCACTAGAATTTATTAAATCTCAATGCTGCAATAATCAAACAGAATTATAAGGGCATCTGTTTCCTGTTTCAGGCAGCTTCATAACTTCTAATAAAAAGAAACTCAGGAGTGTAACTTCTTAACCTTACAAGACCGCATTTAAAGCAAAAAACTAAAATAAAGACTCAGCATGACTAGCTAAAGCAAATGATAGCCTAATAGTTAAGTAAAAGACCGTTATTGATTGGTAGAAGTGAAATTCCTAAGTATGAAGAATAGAAGTCATAGAAACTCAGGACTACAGGAGAAAAAACTGACTCAGTACAAGGTTGGCAGATAAAAAGCTTGGTCTAAGGAGTGTTGTTCTGTGTCAAAGGGAGGGTCAGGATGTTTCCTGAAAACTTGATACATACAGACAGGAAGGAGGAAACAACTCATGGACGTGTTGGAGAGCATGTGACACACCTGTCAGGGAGGTGTCGCTGCTCAAAGGTCGGGGGTGTTGATACATGATGTTAATCAGGATGACAATAAAGTCTGTGAGAGTAACTGGATCTGAAACACAAACAATAATGACAAACTGTCTTATTTTGGTGTCTAGACAGTGAAATAAAGGGTAGCTCTGACAGAACAATCATCCAAGCAGCAAGAAAGAAAGCAATTGAACTTGAACTTTGATTGCTTGGCATTTTACGTGGAGAATAAAATGCCTCAATCTCGAAATTGTGATGGTTGTTGAATCACGCTACCAGCAGTCAAATCTGGTCTTTTTCAAGATCTGAAATCTGACATCATTAGTTTAAAAGCAACATATCCAACACTGAAAATAACTGTTAAATAACTGGATAAATAAGATATTGTGTTAAAGAGAAAGAGTGAACAGAAATCTTTCAGTCTTAGTAACTTAAACTCACATTTTATTCTATATAATATACGTAATTAAGTTCGCACCCATCTGCTCCCTTCACAGCAGCATTATTAGAGTCTCGGTTCTGAACTTTAAATTTAACATGCAAAATACCAACCTTTGTTTTTTTTTTCTCTCTCTATTGTAGATTTGTCGCTACAAGCATCTGCTTAGCCCTTAAACCTGTTTTCTGTACATTAGAGTTTGTTGTAAATTAATTGAGTGCCAGTGACAAAATGGGCCCAAATGAAACCCTCACTATCAAGCTTGATATCTGGACGTTTTTGGGCTGGAAATCTGTGCTTAGCTTTCTCCCAACATGGCACTTTAAAATGAATGAAATTTTTTTTTTTTGTGGTGTCATCTTCCAAAAGGGGCAGTGTTCAAAAGATCTGATTCATACATATGGAGTTCTCCAAACCAACATCAGCCTTTGTTCTGGCAAAACCAAATCATAGAAGTCTAATCTTTTTCTAATTCTTTGAGGTCACAAATCTTTCTCTTTAAGATGATTACTGAGGCCTGCAGAGTTTGGGGAAGAGCTAAAATTCATGTTTTTATGGAGAAGCTATTAATCAAGATCTTTGATTAGAGACACTTATTTCCTACCTTCCCTCCAAAATATGTAGTCCTGCATTTTTACCTTTTTATTTTTAGACAATAATTATGACTGCTTTAAATCTGCATATTTCTGTACCATCTCATGTTAGATTAAAAAAGGTTGAATATTATTTCTTGATCAATAAATATTTGACACTACCCCAACAGAGGGTTTTCTATACAGCAGGGAAGCTGATTCTGCAGTAGATCTCTGAAATGTTTTGATTTTATTTGATAATATATAGACAAAATCTTTGTGTTATGGTGTTAATACAAAGCAATACTTATTGACAATGACCTGTTATAGTGTTGAAAAGTGGCAGTTAACGCCTATTTAAATGCTTAAAATAAAAGATCCATTGATTATTATCTCCTCTAGTTCATTGACAATTAAATAGTAATAGATTGGCAGCAGAAGGGGAAAAAACATGAAGGTCAAGACACCTGAAGCAGAGTCTTTAACAATCCAAATTTCTGCACCTCACAGTATTATGTTACCTTATCAGGGATAAAGGTGGGATGGAGAGGAATAAAGTTCCTGCATAAAAGGAAAGGAGGGAGTGGACTATATCTGTGCTGATTATAAGCATTCCTGTGTCAGAGCTTGATTGCAAAGATCAGCCAGATATTGTGAAATTCAACTAAAAAAGGAGGGAGAGCAATAAAGTTCATAGTACATTAAAAAAACAAAAGAAAGAAAAAACACAAAGACGGGTGACCCTTTAACTCTAATGGCTCACTCCTATGACAAACGTAGTACTCAGCTGTTTAGCCCTTATTTATGGCTTAACTACTGAGATAAACACTTTGCGTTAATGAGCTGATGTTGCAGAACCACACCTTTGTGCGTCCTGATTTTAACGGGAAAGAGTTTTCGTCCGTCGGTGTAGATGATGAGTTTACCCAGGACACACAGAGAGTGAACAAAGAATGAATATTCAAGTTCCTTTCTGGTATAAATGCTCCTCTGAGACAAACCTGGAAAAAAAAAAGAGAAAAAGTTTTAGTAGAGGAAAAAAAATAGTGAACAATGTTTTTTTGTATGTATTCTGAATCAATACAAATTGTCCTAACTTTTATTTTAATTTTAAACAGAAGATGAGACAGATTTAAAAAAAGGCATTAACACCCCCTCAAACTAAGACATGCAAATAATAGACAACAACCTGGGACACACATTATGTTACCTCAGGGAGGAAACTAAACCAAAATTCTGATTAATTTATCAAAATATTGTAAAAGCTGTTGCCAGGTGTTCCTTCACAATCTCACTATTGAGGACAAAATTCTCTCCACATGAGACAATCTAATATTTTCCTTCAGCCACAGTTTAGAACTTTTTTTTTCTAAACATCAAAACAAGCTTTTTTTTTGCTAAAATAAAGAGATAAAAAAGTTTTTATATATTTGTTGAGTTGTAAAAACTGAACAGAGGTTCCTATTATGAACTCAATATGCAACATAGCTCAAAAGGTTCTACATATACTAGACCAAAATGAAATTAATTCAAGACAAAGTACATAGTCATGAAGAGGAACCGTTGTTTTTTTTTTTTTTTTGTTGTAAAGCGTTTTCCACATACTGGGGAGGTGCTGAGAAAGTTTTTGTGTAATACTTTTCTTATGACTTCTCAAGAAATCGTTTTCTTGTACTTGTAAATTAACTCAAAAGTGACCCATGATACAGGTTCACTTAAAACCAAACAGACTTAGATTATCAACTTTTATTTGTCCTTTTTCCCTAATGAAAAACTGACAGGTGGTGTAGACCAGCGGTCCCCAACCTTTTTTGCACCACGGACCGCTATATGTCAGACCATATTTTCACGGACCGGCGGGAGGGGGGTAAATACGATCAAGTAAAATGATACGACTGGCATAAAATCAAATACAAACGGCATAAAGATAAAACAACAAGCCGCTCCCATCTAGCATATACATATATACTTTTTTCTGTGCGGCCCAGTACCAAATAACCGATGCACCAGTAACGGTCCGCGGCCCGGTGGTTGGGGACAGCTGGTGTAGAGGGTTTCTCTTCTGTTGCCACATATTTGTTGAATTAAAAGGTCATTTGTTTATGAGTACAATAATATTCATCACAAAGAGATGATTTGAAAACTGAATAGGGGACGTAAACTCACAAATAAGAAGCCTGTGATCAGATTAATCTCAGCCGGTACGATTAAACGATGATCCTTAATTAGGAAGAGCATCCTTTTAAACGCTTATTCTGATCATGTCATTCAGATTGGGGCAATCAGACCCTAATGAACACATGAATGAAGAGCTGGGAAGCACAGTACTCAGGTGTATTTTGTTCAGAACCAAAACATTCTGTTTTAGAGCACCACCTTTAAAGACTCTCAAACATAGATGGATTAAAAAAATAGCCCTGCTACAATTCCTTAGAGTAGAAGTATAAGTAGGAATTTCAACCTGCATCCAGATAAGAAAAGGTCAAGGTTTTCAGTTTCAAGGAGACAAGCTGTGCTCCAGGAGATAACCACCTACAGGACGATCTCCTGCTCTCCAGGATTTCTTCTAACTTAATATGTCCAAACTTCTTATAGAAGTTACAGATTTAACTCAATATTGGAAAAAATCTCGGGAAACGAAAGGAAGCTTAAAACATTTGCCTTAAATGTGAGAAAATAACAGAAATGTCATCATTAAATTTACACCTGGACTGCAATAATTCACAAGACCTATACTTTAATTATATTTTGGTTGGATCATTAAAAAGCAGTTTGTTTATGAAAACTGAGTATTTTTCGTAGCTTCGACAGTAAAGAAAAGCAAAATACGCAGGGTAATGTTTGAATGACACAGGGCTCTTGTTGGGTTTCAATCTAGTGAGTCAATCACATCAACCATCACAAGAATGAGTGCAAAGTAAGGGAAAAAATACTCCTCTTTTGAAACCACACATATAAAAGTCTGAGGAGGAATCATTTCTTTATGCCGTTTTCCTTACCAGGGTTATCGGCCTCACTGGTGTTGCATTCAAACGACTCACTATAATGCAAGCACTGCTGAAGAGCTTCTGCTACCTGGAAAATAAATAAAGCAAAGACTGTGTCATTGATACTTCAAATAATCACAAAACTGAAATAAAAGCACACAGAAAATGGGGAAGTCACTTCAGCTCGCTAGCAGTGGAAATGAGAGAGGTGCAAGTTTGCAGGCTTTCTACTGATAATGAAGGCATCACTTTCATGTAAAGGCTGTTTGCAATAATCTTTACTACATAAATTGATGTTGCACTACTTCATGTGCTACATATTTAACTAAACTAAAGGGGGAATGTTTTATTTTTTAAAAAACAAGGTTTTCTGGACATACTGTCAAACAGAACTGTAGACCATAGCTGAGTTGATGATTATATCTGGGACTCATCAATTAGAATAGAATAGAATAGAATAGAATAGAATAGAATAGAATAGAATAGAATATCCCTTTATTGTCCCACAATGGGGAAATTGTGGTGTTACAGCAGTAGATAATAAGTAATAAGTGGTCACCTAAATTTGGACCCTAAAAAGTGTATAAAAATAAAAGTATAAGTTATAAAGAGTAAAATAAAATGATTTCTTTTGTTAAATTATTTTAAAAAATACAATTTTACAAAAATTAGCTGGAGGTCTTTATTAGGGAGTGGGGATCTGTTCTACTGGCTCCCCTTTATACAACATATAGCATTTTGCTAATATATGTTATACTTGCTATACTGCAGATTAAACAACCATTACTTTATAAAACATAAAAAGATTGTTAAACAAGAAAAAGTAGCAAGGTTTTAATAAAAAAATTTGTGAATTAGTTTTCCCAAATTTGTTAGTTATTTTTAGTGATTAAAAATGGCTTAATTACATTTCAAGTGCATAAATGAAGATATTTATAATAATAATATAAATATCCCAACTAAATGCTACAAAACAAGCTTATTCTAGAAAAAAGCTATTTGTGTTTTTAAACTTGGTAAAAAAAAAAAGGGATGACTCATTTCTCATAAATACTCTAAATGTTTATGTTTTTACATTTATCTTGATGTAGGAAACAAACCTAAAATATTTCATACATTGTCAGAACCCAGTTTAAAATCGTTGGCCATATATTAGGTGACTGAGCTCTCTGGAAAAAATGTAATCTCAGCAGAATGAAACCCATTAGCCTTTAGAATCATGTCCATCTCAATGCTTCATTGAATTTGACTAACTGGCATGTGATGCCACATAAATAAATAAAAAAACAGCTAGATCTACAATTTATGACAGAAAAGAGAGAAAACAGAGTGAGTGAAAGACAGAGTACAAAACACATAAAATAGCAAAACATTAAAATTACTTTTAACTATGGCTGGATTACTTGATCAAATGCTTGCCAGTACTGATTCAGATGGGAATAATTACCCTCTGGATGCTGGAGTGCCATATTGTCATACATATTGCTAATGATATCATTAAATACATTTGGATGTTGCATTTTATCTTAGATAATTACTAATAACTGAATTTATATCACTGACAAGGTTCCAACTTTACTTTTGTTCCACTGTTCCTTTGGCCAGAAATGCTCTTAATAAATCTCTCTAAATAAATAAAAGACTTAGACAAACTTTATTGTCATTTTGTACACACAAAGTGTACACAAAACAAAATTTTGTTTATACAGCTTTCCGACTGTGAATGAGCAGAAGCTTAGCAGTGAAAGTGAACATTTCCATTCATAAAATACAACAGTGATCAAATGTATACAGTGTGGGAGACATATGGTGCAAAAAGTAATTTAGTCTCTTACACATAAATATAAACAAAACGCATTTCCATTGATGAGGCCAGCTAAAGCACACTCAAATCCACTACGAAAATGATTCAATCAGAGCTGCACAGTGGTGCAGTTTGTAGCACCGTTGCCTTGCAGCAAGAAGGTCCTGGGTTTGATTCCCAATCTAGGGTCTTTCTGCATGGAAATATTTAAACATATTCACTGCAATTCTAACCTTTATTGCAACATTTCAAACCTGTATTTTTAAGCACAAACAGCACATGATTGTGAATATGGCTTCAGTAGTAGTAATAATGAATTA